CTAAGTGATGCCTGTAAGAAAGATGTCAGAATCTCCCTGAGGAGATTTTGTGTTCCTGCTGGTCAGCAGCATCAACTCCTTAACCTCCACTACAGAAATAGAGATTCAGCTTGAGAGATGACTGGCTTCATCTCTTCAAAAACGCGTAAGTCATGTGGCATTGGAGTCTAGCAGGTTCCTCTACTAGACAGATAATTCTAAAGGAAACAAACAAAAAAACCAAACAGAACACTCAATGACATTTTTATGTGCTACAGCGCTATCTTGTGAAAGAGAGGCTGTATCTGACGCTTGCCTCATCTGTTTTTACATAAGGCCTTGGAGTCCAAACTTGCATCTTGCCGAAACTTTGTGTATGACCAGTCTCCAAACAGACCCACAGTGTCCATGTACATGAACAGAGATGTCCTTGAAGCACGCCTGAGTCCTCATCAGCCTCCGTATGATACAGGGTGAGTGCTGTGCTCTGCTGTTGTCTTAGTGACAGCTCTTGGTGTTCTATTTAGTATTACATCTTCATTTTGGTAGAGACAGATTTGTTTTGCAAAGATAGGAAACTTAGTTATTGAGGATTATTATTTGAATGTTTCAGGTCAGTTTAAGGTTTGGAATCACTAGCTGCTGAAATTCAAAGACAGACTGGAATCAAGTTTTGAAAACCACAAAGTCAAAGTAAACGTAATACACGTGTTTTATAATAAACCCCGTGTTTAAGTGGGAGGAAGTGAAACAGCGGAGCTCTTGTGTATTGGCTCAATTTGTTTTATGCTTTATGCACTTGTAAAAGTGATGTCTCAGGAACATTATGGCATGTAGGGACTTTCCTCATGACAGTTAAGATTCTCATTTATGGAGAACTTCTAAAAAAGGCAAATAATGTGTTCATTTGACCAGAATGCTTTATAGTTGCTAAGATGTTGCTCCAAGGAGCAGCTGACAAAGTTACCTGACTCAATTTTTAAATTTGTCTGAACACTTGAACTGGTTGTCTCTTTTTTTTTTTTTTAAACAAATGAAGAAAAATCAGCAAGGTTGTCACAAATAGCAGATCTGTGTCTCCATAAACACTGTCAATCCCATACTATACATACTCCAGATTCTCTGAAAATTCTGCCTATAGTAAAGTTTGTTCCAGACTTAATTATTCGGCTGGACCCTTTTGCTGCGAATACTGCTTTGTCCTGTTACCTAGTGCCCAAAGTTGTGTGGAAGGAGTGTTCCACATTGAGAAACCTCATGAAAGCAGCTCCTATAAGAAAGCCACAAGGGCAATACATTTGTGTATTCATGCGGCTGATTTATCTTTACCGCTGAAACACCTGTAAAAGATAGCTTCTCACTGCTCAGAGGGAAACGGAGTCCTGTGCTACAATGTAAACTCAGCCCAGGTAAATAACAGGCTCGCTTAGTGCTCTGAGTGATACTCCTCTATCTGTTGGTTTCTCAAGCTGAGTAGTGTACTCTGGAAGTGACTAGTTACTCTGAAGATGGTAAAACTGAGCAAGAAATACACTGGCTTCTATTTTGTATTTACAGGTTAGTGAAACACTTGGAGTTTGGAACGCGGCCTTCAAATATTCCGGGACCAGTGAGCCATCCCTCACAGAGTGTTGTCAAGATGCTGCTATGAAACGCCTGACTGGCTTTGGAAAAGAAAAAAAAATAAATTAAACTTTAGTTTTCTAAGAGAATATCAATGAGCATTCAGGCAGCAGTCTTGGGGTAGGTTCGAACTGAAAAAGAAGCTGCACTTGGCAATGGCCTCCTGTGGCTTTGCTCAGTCTGGCCTCTCAGCTGAGCTCTATTGGTAGTGTGATAAAGCAATGCTGCCTGGCAGTGCAGGACTTCAACTTGCCTTCTACATCAGTAGCCATAAATAGCTCCTTGAAAGTTGCTGCTTTTGACACTGCTGGTCAAAGCAGTCCCTCTACCGATAACAGAGACAGTATTCCCTGTGCAGCTCCTCAGGCTTTGGCTTTTGTGTTAATACAACACTATGGGTTAAATTCTGGTTGTGCTTGCTTTCTATTGTGACTGTTGTGTGCTGCAGTCACATGAATTAGAGGATTGTTTTTATATGGAGAAGGGTGTATTTCTGCAGGGAAGCTGTTCAGCTTTGTGGGATGTTTGCTAGTCAGAATCTTCCTACACACAAACTTGCCTCTGTAGTGGTAAGATGGTTTTGTAAGTGATGATTTGCCATTGAGAACAGGTCATGATTAAAGGTGAGGAATGCCTAGTGCTTAGAGTACTCAGGAGATCCCAGAGCTAACAAGATATGAGACTTTGGAGTGGCTTAGCATATAGACCTTTTTTTATTTTTTGTTGCCATGTTGTGGCCCATAAGAGCCCGACTGTTGTAGGATGCAAGAGACTTCATGAAGTTCTTAGTTCTAACGTCTTAATAGGAGGGTTTTACTGCTTTCTAATGCTCCATTTATTAATGTGCCTTGGGTATTAGTGAATTTTTCTTCTTGCCTTTTTTTTCTGTGAGAATGTATGATTTCAACTCTTAATAATTTAGAAATGTTTTTTTCACCTGAAAAGTCTTTTATGCTAGACAGGTATATATAAGTAGAGAATTATTTTCAAATACGTTTTTTACCCTATAGAATATTACTGCATTTTTGTTTTTTAAATGGAGAAGGTTCATTCAAAGTATTAATGTGCCTTATGGAAGCCTATACTTGCAAAAATAATCATGACTAAACAATTCTTGTTGGGGGTGGGGTGGAGAGCTTACTTGACAAAAGAATGTGTAAATAGGTTTGGGTTTTGGGGGGAATTTGTTTGTTTTTTGGTTTTGTTGTGGTGGGATTTTTTTTGTTGGTTTGGTTTTTTTAAGAAAATGCTGTGAAAACAGTCACTGATGCATCTGTTTCTCTGGAACAGGAAATATCCACAGGTCGTTCTCATTATTCAGGCCATCTACATAGTTGACCTAATTGAGGAGAAGAATAAAGCTTAATTTGAATGCTAGTTGTTGATTCACTTTGAGTTCTTTTTGCAAGTTGTCACTGTGGTTTATACACAGATGTTTACTACTGGTTTCTTACCTGTTTCTGATTAATGAAGCTGAAAGAGACGTTGTTTTGCTGAATCATATGCAAACATTTTCTTAAATCCCTTTCTTCTCATGGTTTCCTGCCCTAAGAAATGTAAATATTGCCATAGCTAAGGATGCCTCTGGGTTTTACAGTGCTTAGTATTGGCATTGCTCTCTTAAAATATTGAACTCTGGCTGTTTTAACATGGTTTTTGTCCTCTCCTCTCACAGGGAGTTGACATTCTTTTCTTACAAGGAGCAGAAGCGTATGGGCTGCTTTGTTAGTTGTGCTGGCACATGGACTGTGTAACCTGGAGGGATCAGTCAAGACAAGTTGCATTTTCCTAATCTTGCCAGAATTTGCCTGCTTGGTGAGCAAGTTGGCTTGCAGTCAGATTGAGACACAGCATTGAGATAAGGTAGAAAGTTGGAAAATCATGGCCATAATAGTATTGTATATTTTACACATGTATTATTAATGTGACTACAGATACCATCAGACGGACTAGAGGTGGATATTTTATTGAGAATTGTCAAACTAATTTTGTCCAGAACAGTCACTTCTGTAATGGTACAGAGAGGAACTTCAGTTTGGCCACTATTGCAGAAGGATGCTTTCTGTGGTGTTACTAAAGAAACTCAGGCTCCCTAATTTGTCACAAGCTTTGCAGAACAGGGGCTGGACCCTAAGTTTCTCAAGTGGCAGGGCAGTGTGCTCTAACCATTAGACCAACCTCTAACATTATGCATGTGAATTTTCTAGATTAATTCCTTTTAGAAGGGCTCCATGTTCAGTTTGATGGCTCTGCTCCAAGCGTTCGTGCTCCAGACCATCCTATATGAAATCTGACTTCCTTGGTCTTCTTGTTCCCACACATGCAGGCTCACAAGTGGTGGTTAACAGCCAGCTCTTCAGCCTGTTTACAGAGCTGAGCTGCATGGCTGATTAAGCAATGGGGAAGGGTCTTATCCAATAGTTCCCAACCCCCCTCCTCTGCAGCTTATTATCTTAATGGCTCTAAATTGATTATTTAAGCTCTGCCTTTACTATTTCATGAGCAGAGAGAATTCTTAGGGTCCTGATTCTTCTGGCTAAATGGTGCCTAGTCTGAATCTTCAGTTCATGATCTGTGTGCCTTCTGGAACAACGCTTGGATTTAGAAGATGATTAGCTGTCAAGGTAGACGTTTTTGCATTACTTGCTCTGCTTGTAGTCACTCTGCCTAAGGTTTGCTTGCTGTACAATCTCAGGCATCGCTTAAGCTTTGTGTACTCAATTCAGAGTAATTCTATACCTGGCTTTGCTGTGCATGGCACTCTACTGCCACAGTGTAACCACACAGCTGCTAGCTGGAAGTGCTAGAGCCGCGTGGATTTGTGGTAGGTCCTGGTGGTTCCCAGGAGAGGGCTGCAGTCCTGTTGGAGTGCTCCAAAATAAAAAGTAACTGCTGCTGATTCCTTAATGCAACATAGCTTGGCTTGGATCGCTGAATCGAGTGTAAGCTGCTGTTTCTAATTGTTCTCAGCCTGCATTAGAGGCTTTTGTTGGAAATATCCCTATGCATACAGGCTTCAAGGGTGGGTTCAGTGGCCTGAAGACAGACACTTTGGGTCCTGCTTGCTTTCCAGCTGCTGCAAGTCTCCTGCTGGTCCTGTGTCATGTCTGTTGGCCCTTCCTGACATCTTCCTAGGGCATCTCAGTTAGCACCGTGTATCCAAGTGGTAATCAAACCTGGCCCAAGTAATTCATATCATTTGCATTCAGCTTAGTATACGTACATTTAAATTTTTTACTCCTTCAAAAGCAATTGCTTGGGAGAAATTTTGTTCTAATTATTACAGATGACCTTTTCTAAAAGTATTGACTTGTAAAGAAGCTCTACTGCATCCCCTGTTCCCCTTGAGCATTTGTATTGCACCCAAGTGACACCTGTACACAAGAATATTGGAATAGTTTTTTATAGCCTTTTATTAGTGTGTAAGCACATCCATGGTGCATATAAAACTGTAACAGTTGACTTAATTTGAACAAATGATATTTTATTTTTCAGTAAGTGATTAAAAAGGCACTTCCACCTTGTGAACGGTGCATCAGGGGTGTAGTAACCAGGAAAAAAACCCTATGTTAATCAAATACTCAAGACAAAAAGGAAGTTTAAGAAGAGATTAACTGACCAATGCCTTTTTTTTTTTTTTACCCCTGTAATAGTCTGACAAATCCTGTGTAAACTATCGTTCACTGAGATTTAAATCATCTGAGCTACTAGAACTTACTTTCTGGAAGATTCTCAACGTGAATTATTCTGAGTGTTAACACCCCCCTCCCCCGCCCCCTTTTCAAATACACTTTGTGGTAAAATAAGTTTTGGAGTACTTTTTACGTTAATCTATACATTGGAAACAAGGCAGTTGTGCTTTTATCATTGTCAGAGGAGTAGGTGTATGTGACTTTGACACTAAGAGTAGACTTATACAGTGCTAAATATCATACTCCCTCCCCTTGCTGCAGTGCAATTTTTTAAGCGTGTTTATTCACTGGCTTTTGTTCCATTGAAATCTCCATCTCTTGCGTCCATTTCTTCATCACCTCCATCTGTTGCGTTCTCAATTACTCTTCTACCTCCAGATCTACGAGGTGGGGCAAAAGATGCTGGCTCATTTCCCCTCCTGCGGGGGGGGGGGAAAGAAATTGCATGTTTAGTTCATTTGCAGTCCTCACAAATAAGCATAGAGTTTAACAGTACCTGAGGCGCTGATGTTTTTAAATGCAGAACAGCCAATAGCTGTGGGCCTCTAATACAACTTTATGTTCTGTAGCATGTAAGAGTAATTTGTCAACAGGTTGAATCTCCCAGTTGCTTGTAACTGTGATAGGATTCCTGTTCTTGTGCTTAAAGTTCTCCTCTAAATAGTTTTATCTGCCCTAACCCCCCTACTTTTCCCTTCATTTCACTGTTTTTCCCTATGGGGGCTGCAACTGGTGGTTCTGGGAGGGAATGAGGAAGGGAGCTGCTCGTACCCACAGCAGCAGGGGAGTGTCCTTCCTGTCCCTTTAGAAGAGCACAGAGGGAGCTTGTTGCTGAATTTGTAACCTGCAGTCTGAATAACCCTACCAGATACTGAAGGCTCACGAGACGTGGGACTGGAGCAGTGCTGGGAATGTCAGCATTTTTGAGCCCACAGTCCCTCTCCACAAAGGCTGCATTGGTCACAGCACCACCAGTGCTTTGACGCATATGGCATCCTAGGTTGTGAGTAGCTCTGATCGTTCCCAGTGGAGAGAGAAAACTCTCACTGCTTTGGAACTGTGTTGTAACTCAGGTGCTGACACTTAATAGTGCAAGTGTCTTACAGAAGAGGTTATAGAAAATGCTTTTTCCTATCTTGCCACCTTTTCCTCTCCCATCTCCCTCCCATCCCCATATATTTCATAGCCACAGCCCAAGGCAGGGACACTTTTGTCCTCAAGGTTATTTTTTGGGAAGAGGTGTGAGCAAATGAGACAGAAGATGGGTTTGTCTCTTCTTGGCCTCCATTGCTACTGTGCTACAAAATGGTTAAGTTTTGTAACATGGCCTCTCACTTGCCCCTCATTAAGCAAACCTTTGCGTAAAGGCTTGAGACTGCAGACATAAGCAATAAAACAGATTCATGATTACTGAATGTTGTGCCAAAATTACTAATTTAGTGTTAAATACATCTGACTCTGCACTTTGGGGTACAACAATTGTATGTAAATATTTAAAGGCTTGTCTTGTCCTTGCAAAAGACTAAGCCAGCATTCTCCTCTCTGAAGCAGCTATTTAAGTCCAAAGTTCAGTCTTCCATACAAGGGAAGTGGGTAGGAACATTGGCTGAACTAACTTATTTCAGAGCCACAAATCTATTTTTCCAAGGCAGAAATGTGACATGTAGTCTGTTTTCCATAATTCTGCCCTTACACTCCAGTGTGAGCACTAACACTCGCCCTTTACAAATTTATAAACATTCATGAGGGCACCCTTCAGTCTCCTCTGCTCCAAGCTCAAGAGCCCCAGCTCCCTCAGCCGCTCGTCAGCAGGAGATGCTCCACTCCCTCCCTCATCTTTGTGGCTCTGCTGGACTCTTTCAAGCAGTTCCTGTCCTTCTTGACTTGAGGGCCCAGAACTGGACACAAGATTGCAGCTGTGGTGTGAGGAGGGCAGAGCAGAGGGGCAGGAGAACCTCTCTGCCCTACAACCACCCCTTCTCATCCACCCCAGGATGGTGCTGGCTGCCTTGGCTCAAAGGCACATTGCTGGCTCTTGGTCACCCTGCTGTCCACCAGGACCCCCAGGTCCCTTCCCCCTGTGCTGCTCCCCAACAGGTCAGTCCCCAACCTATCCTGGTACATGGGGTTGTTCTTCCCCAGATGCAGTGCTCTACACTTGCCCTTGTTGTATTTAATTAAATTTCTCCCCTCCCAGCTGTCCAACCTGTCCAGCTCTTGCTGAATGGCAGCACAGCCTCTGGAGTTCAGGCACTCCTCCCAGTTTTGGGTCATCAGCAAACTTGCTGACAGTGCACTCTGTTCCCTCATCCAGGTCGTTCATGAATAGTACTGGTCCCAGTATGAACCCCTGAGAGACCCACTAGATACAGGCCTCCAACTGGACTCTGTCCCAGTGACCACAACTTCTTTCCTTCCATCAGTTCACCGTCTGCCTCACTACCCTCACCTCATCCAGACCACGCTTTCTCAGCTCAGCTGTGAGGATGCTGGGGGAAATGGTGTCAAATGCTTTACTGAAACCACGATAAACCACATCCACTGCCCTGCCATCATCTACCCACCTGGTGATGTCCTCAGAAAAGGCTACCAGGGTGGTCAAACATGACTTCCCCTTGGTAAAACCATGGTGACTGCTCCTAATGACCCTCTTATCCTTGATATGCCTGGAGACTGCTGAGGATAAGCTGTTCCATCACCTTTCCAGGGATGGAGGTGAGGCTGACTGGTCTGTAGTTACCTGGGTCCTCCTTCTTGCCCTCTTTGAAGACTGCAGTGACATTTGCTGTCCTCCAGTCCTCAGGCACCTCTCCTGTTGCTCACGACTTACCAAAGATGATGGAGAGTGGCCTAGCAGCGACTTTTGCTGGCTCCCTCAGCACCCATGGGTGCATCAGGGCCCATGGATTTATGGATGTCCAGATTGCTTATCTGATCCCTAACCCAGTCCTCATCAACCAAGGCAAACTCCTCCTTTATCCTGACTTCCTCTGGGACCTCAGGGCTCTGGGGCTCCTGAGGACAGTCTCCAGCAGTGCAGACAGAGACAAAGAAGGCATTCAGTAACTCCGTCTTCTCAGTATCCTCTGTCACCAGGGCACCCACCTCATTCAGCAGTGGGCCGACATTGCCTCTAGCGCTAGTTTTGTCTGCAGTTGATCCTTCTGTTGTTCTTGACCTCCCTTGCAAGGTTTAATTCCAAGGAGGCCTTAGCTTTCCTAGTTGCCTCCCTACATCCTCTGATAGCAGTCCTATATTCTTCCCAAGTGGCCGTCCCCTCCTTCCATCATCTATAGACCTGTTCTTCCACTTGAGTTTGCCCAGCAGTTCCCTGTTTAACCATGCGGGTCTCCTGGCTCCCTGTCTTGGTTTCCTGCCTGTTGGGATGCTCTGATCTTGAGCTTGGAAGAAGGTCCTTGAATATAAACCAACTATCTTGGGCTCCTTTACCTTCTAGTACCATGTCTCATGGAATTTCCCCTAGCAATTGCTTGAAAAGGCCAAAGTTTGCCCTGCTGAAGTCCAGGGTTGTGATCCCGTTTGGTATTCTGTTCCTACCGCACAAGATCCTGAACTCCACCATCTCATGGTTGCTGCAGCCAAGGCTGCCCTCAACCTTCACCACTTCAACCAGACCCTCCTTGTTAGTGAGTATAAGACCCAGCAGCATTCCTCTCCTAGTTGGTTCATCCACCATTTGCATCAAGAAGTTATCACTGATGCACTGGAGGAACCTCCTGGACTGCGAACGGCTGGCTGTGTAGGCCTTCCAGCAAATATCCGGGTAGTTCAAATCCCCCATGAGAACCAGGGCCTGTGCTTGCCAGGCTCCTGCCAGCTGCCTGTAGAAGGCCTCGTCAACTTCCTCAGCCTGATCAGGTGCCCTGTAATAGACACCTACAACAGTATTGCCTATGCCAGCCTGTCCCTTAATTCACACCCACAAACTCTCAACTCGCTCCTCATCTGTGCCTGGACAGAACTCAACACCTTCTAGCTGCTCTCTCATGTAAAGGGCAACTCCACCACCTCACCTTATTGGCCTGTCTTTCCTAAAAACGACACAGCCATCCATGACCACATCCCAGTCATGGGAGCTGTCCCACCATGTCTCTGTAATTGCCACCAGATCATAAGCCCTTGTCTACACAGATTTCTAACTCCTCCTGTTTATTGCCCATGCTGTGTGCATTGGTGTAGATCCACTTGAGTTCAGTTACTGATTTCACTCCCAACACTGGCCTGCTACCCCTTGGCTCACCTCTAGTGAGCCTGGTATTATCCCCTCCCCACTTTGAACCTAGTTTAAAGCCTTATTGGTGAGCCCTGCCAACTTAGGTGCAAGGATCCTTTTACGCCTTTGAGAAAGTTGAATTCCATTGGTCACCAGAAGGCTTGGTGCTGTATAAACCTCCCCAAGATAAAAAACACCCAGAATTCCACTGATGGCATCATCCTCTGAGACATGTGTTGATCTGGTGTGTTTTCTGGTTCCTACCAGTATTCTTCCCTGCCACTGAAGAGATTGAGGAAAACACTCCCTGTGCTCCCAGTCCTTCAACCAGTCTCCCCAGTGTCCTGCAGTCCCTCTTGATTGCCTTTGGACTTATCTGCTCAACCTCATTGCTACCAACCTGAACAACTAACAGCAGATAATAGTCAGAGGGCCGTACCAGACCAGGGAGTTTCCTAACCCAGGCCCCAGGACAGCAGCAGATATCCCTGTGGGATGGGTCTGGTCAGCATATTGGAGCCTTTGTACCCCTCAGAAGGGAATCACCTACAACAATTACCCTCCTTTTTTTCCTTTACTGAGTCAGTTGTAAAGTGAGGCAAAGCAGCTGACCCTAGGCAAATCCCTGGATGGGCTTTCTTCAGCATCCTCATTTGCCTGGCCCTCAAGTTTCAGAGCCCCGTATCTATTGTGTAAGTGAGGGAGGCTGGGAGGCTCCACACCGAGCAGGGACTTGCTTCCATTCCTCTCCATCTCTTAGGTCCTCTTCTTCTGCTTGGAGGCTAGAGGGTAGGGGATCCTGTGTTTCTTGTGGAGCCTCTGTCTCTTGCCTTTGCCTCAGGGTATGACTCCACCAATCAATCTCCCTCTCACACTCCCTAATACTCCTTAACCTTTCAACCTCCTCCTTTAGCTCAGACACCAGGTGGAGCAGATAATTCACCCGGTCACACCTCACACAGGTGTTGTCACTGCTGACCTCCTGTTGGAATGACAGACTCAGGCACTCCCTGCAGCCAGAGACCTGGACATGTGCATCTTTGAATGGGAGTGATGTCTGAGTCGCCACACTCCTCCTGGTGCTGACCTTTGAATGAGTGGTGACCATTTCTATGCATGAATAATGCATATAGTTGAGACAAGCCTTAAGTATTACTGTTTGCTTAGCATCTCTACCTTTGAAGGGCTACGGGAGTAGTGCTTGAATAACAATCTGACTGGAAATACTAGGCTGACTAAAAGGCACATGCAAGGACAAGACATAATCTTTAAATATTTGTGTATTCACAGCAAAATCCAGCATATGTAATATAGAAGATAAACAAATATTACAAGGCAGTAGCTCTTTAATTTTTGCAACAGCAGGTATTATTTCTATCTCCAGAGAATGTGATAAAGTATAATATAATGCTGTGCTAGGTTATGGTGTCAATATTAATTTCTGTGTTCATGCTTTGTGTTTTAATAACATTAGACAAGTGATGTAATGTCTGCAAAATAGCTCTAAAAGCCTAAGTAATGGCTCTTTGTAAGCAATACAGGTGTGCTATGTAATGAAAGGCAAGATTTTCTCTTTTGTCTGTGATTGTGTGGTGTGTGATAAATCACATGCAAGTAAGATCTTCCCAAATCTCAGGTGAGTTAGATGGGATCTTACCTTAGTCAGCATTACAATATGAGTAAGACGCACTGTGAAATTCTAATGACATGCTGTCATACGTCATATTCATTAGTCCTTTTAATCAATTTTACTAATCAATGGTGTATTTGATTTGAAAAATTTTAATCTCTGTGGCTGTGCACAAAGACAAGGTGGAAAAAAGACCATTTCCATGCAGATAAATTCAGAGTACTTTATTATGTACTCTGCTGGTAGAGCTTGTGAGAATGCAGCACTGGTAAATATACATCAGTACATAACCTATTTGTAAGAAAGATGTATCACTAAAGAACAGCTGATGGTAGCTAGATTAATGTAATATTTGTCTCTTTTGATAAAACAGTTTAATGTCAAGATATCCAAGCCTTCACAGTTTGCAGAAACCTCACATAATTTTTACTTGGGCCAAAGAAAATGGAAATTTATGCAACAAGCTAGCTGCAAAGTTGAAGGCATGGTACCTACTTAGTCATGCGAAGGTTCCTGTGTCCCTCTGAAACAGAGATAAAGAGTCCTGGGCAGTTATACTAAGCACATGGTCATGATCAGAGTTAGGTAGATTACTTTTAAATAATTAAACAAAGTACATTACAGCCAATTACATTGCATTTAGATACAACAAAAATGAACCGTATGCTATTCTCTGTAAAAGGGGCTGGACACAGCCACTCCTTTATAAAGCAGCCAGGAGCACACACCACCCAAGATGGTGCTAATGGAAAAGCTCCCAAAAGGCTACTACATCCCAAACTTTTCACTTTGAATTAAAACCACATCTGAAGGTTCATGCATGTTACTGGTAAACAGGTTGGCAAACCACTTCAAGAACACAACTGTGCAGATGCTTCACATTCATTTGACATACTGTTGGGTTTAGCAAAGTTTTACGGTGTGATGATGCAGATAGAGCAATTCCCTTACAATTCAAGTCAGGCTCTTTATTTCAATGAGTTGGTGTTTTCAAATGCAGTGAGTGCAAGAGAACCTGGGTATATAGCTGACTGATCACAGCTCTATCTTTTTCCCAGTTAGTTTTAACAAGAGAGTGTAAAGGGAAGTTTTGATCTTTTCCTTGGTCTGAGGACACCGAATCCCTTTGTGGTGAAGTCCAAAGAGACTTTTGGATAAGAGAAATATAACGTGCTTTGCGTTTTGCTGCCTGTGATGTTGTCTAAGACTGTGGTCATTGCGTGCAAGTTGTGCATGTGTGAAAGTGAAAAGCACAAGCATTTATACCCTTTTGTGACTGCTTCTGTACAAATAGATACAGCCATTTTATGAGAGGTGTTTTCAAAAGCAGCCAAGCCTAATTCTGTTCCTAACAAAAACTCCAACAGGAGTTTTGATTAGAAAGAGTAAGGCCTGTGCCATGGTATCACAGTTGTTCATCTCAACTGGAATGCTGAGACTGCTGCAGTCTACGAAATGCACTTCATCTTCTGACTTTGTCCTTCTGTTGTGTCTGCCAAGCTAATACAAGGAGTGAGTAACTTTGCAGCATTATTGGTGTCTGTTCTTTACTCGAACAGGTATTTTTTTTTTCATTTCTCTAGTTTAGTTCCAAATTTCAGGGCTGTCAGTGAGTGGGAATGGCTATCTCAAACAAGGGCACTCTACCTGAGCTTGCTCTTCAGTGCTGCGACCTCACGGCCCAGAGCTTCATTACTCTCAGTAGCTTCATCCAGTTCTCTCTGCAGCTTCCTGCGGTTTGCGTTGATACGCTGAGACTCTTCCTCCGCCTCCTCCAACTGCCTTTTCAGTTGCTTGAGTCGTGTGTTGCCCTTCTCAGCCTAAAGGGAAATTTGAGAGTAATGCTTTAATTCAAGTCTGATCAGATCTAATGGCTTTACATTCCTCATTTTAATTTCATACTTCTCTTGAGAGTTTTACTGAAACATGGCCTGAATCAAAAGTAGAAGCTTAAAATCTGAAAAATGTAAAAATAACTGCTTTGTAGGAGTTTAGCTGCTGATAGATACCATATTCAGACGCTAGCTTATTGTTTCTTTTGTTGCACAGTTTTACCTCTGTTTTCTGTCTTGCTGGTTGGTGTGCTTTAGGTCAAACTAAAATTTTAAACCAAAATGTGTTCATTGTCTCCATTCATATACCAATAAGGATGTTGTGCACAGTCCTGTAGACCACTGTGCAGACTATTGCAGCTCCCTGAGTGACAAGGACCAGTGCTTTGGCACTTGACTCTGCACAGAGGAAGAATTATATTGTCCCAGCTTTAGCAAAGGGCTGTAGCTACCCCAGCATAGAATCCCAGCAGACATTCTGCTTTCTAGAGGAGTATTTCTTTGAGACAGAACATGGAATTGTTCTGTCTTAGGATAAGACGTGAAAATTCCTGTGCTCCAGACTAAGACCCTCATGACCCAGTCTGATACCTGATCTTTGTACTGCTCTGCTTGCTTTCTCTCATCCTCCACCTGCAGCAATGCATCCTTCAGCTTCTTGTCCTTCTGGCGCAACGTCTTGGCTGCAGCCTGCTTCTCTCTGCAAATGATAGTCCAACATTTGGTGATGCGGAGGTCTGAAGTCGTCACCTACCTCAATCATGTTGTTCATGAAACAGGCACCAAGGACCTGTATGTTAAAGGCCTTACTGAATTTAGCAGACAGATCCTAAGCAAAACTTAAAGGTCATGTTCTTCTGATCAAAACAAATATGTGTCTTTGCTGTATGCTAGAGGTGCTCTAGGTTATCTGTTTTAAAACACAAAGTTATTTCCTCAAGAAATAATCCTGTAAATGGCACAATGTGTTACGGCAATTAAGCTGGCAGGGTGATAGGGCAGTTGCTCTAAAATGTAGGGGAACAGATCCTTGCCTTTGGTACCAGTGGAACTTTCCAGTAATAAAATGGTTGTTAATCAGAACCTGTAACTACTCCAGCTACTGGCCATACGTCTAAGAAATGTTAAGTGAGGGAGAGACTTTACCAAGCCTTAATGGCCCTGAAGGCCTGATGACAAATCCTGTCTGCCTTTGCTCTCTGTCTCATTAACTGGAACAATAAATGGACAGCTGTGCCGTCTGGGAGACGAGTACCTGGCTTCCTGTTCCAATTGCTCTTCAAGAGAAGCAATTTTGGCCTCCAGAGCAGCAATTGTAGTTTTGAATTTGGACTTCACAGCTCCCTCCATCTCCTGCAGCTTACTCTTCAGCTCTTTGTTCTGCCTCTCCAGTTGCTGCCGAGCGTTTTCGTTCTTCTGTGCCGTTGAGCGCTCTGTTGCCAGCTCATTGTTGAGCTGCTCTGCCTGCAAGGGTGAGAATACTGTTGAAAGTGTGGCATTCCTTCAGAGAAATGACACCTGGCAATTTGGGATGGCAGTTTTCACAGAATCACAGAATCACAGA